ACTCAATGGCATTGAGGCCAATTATACCATTCCCTAATGCTATTCAGGTAAAATCAGTTAACACTTGCTTTATCTTTAAAGCGCTCTGAGATGCCATCCAGCGTGGAGGGCACTATATAAATCCAAGTTGTTGTTGTTATCTGATCTAAATGGTCACATGCACTCTTTGCTGATCTCCTGAGCTCCACCTCATGCAAAACTGCACAGCTCATATTATCACTCGCACCAAACTGGTTACCCATCACCCCAGTCCTTGCCAAACTCAATTGGCTCAGTGTCCCTAGCAGATCAATCTCAAGGTCTTCACCTATGAATCCCTCCATACCTTGGCACCTCCTTATCTCTCTTGATCTTCTCATATTCTACTCATATACTTGCTCCATCTGCTCAACCAACACAGGCTTTCATTGAGTTCCCTGCTCTTCCTGCATCACCGTTTGTAGCAGAACCTTTAGATCCTACCCCCTCAACTCACTCTGCCTTCCCCTCGATCTCGCCCCTCTCTGTCTAAGTCCCTCCTTAAGACTTACCTCTATGGTCACCTCTCCCTTGCTTGGAGTATCCCAGTCCTTGTAAAGCACTCCAAGACGTTACTATACATGAAAGGGACTATATAAATGAAAACTGTTTGTTGTAATACTCTCCACTGGGTACTAGGTCATTGATAGAAGCTCAAGTTTAATTTTTAACATGTTCGCAAGTAAATACCAATACAGACATTTGAGGTTGTGGCAACCAGATTTAAGTGGTGTCAAATCATATTTAGTGGCCAGAACAATTGTTAACTGCAATTATATTCAACAGTTACAAGAATAGGACCTTCGGGATCTACGGATTTCGTGGCCTCATTTTCTGTTCAAGAAAAAAAATATTCCTACTTCTCCAAAACCTCTCAGTTCAGAATTTAGTGTTTAATGCTCTGTGGCATAAGATAGTGATAAATTATCTTGTAAACCTACAATCTGCCAACTCTTTCTAAACCATGTTTTACAACTTAACAGCAGTGAAGCACAGCTATTGACAAATTGCTCCTGTAAATCAGTCATTTGCTGGCTGTATCTGTTTATACAGGGTCCATTGAGAGAGCTTGACCTGGTAGACTGCTCTCTTACTGCTTCTGACTAACAGCTTTCAGTTATATAGTCTGATCTGGAAGTCGTTAGAATGCTGCTTCACACAGCCTCTCTGGGTAGTTGTGAAAGGTAAAATTAAACAGAATAAAGAGCACTGAAATAGGCCATTTGGCCCAATTAGGGCATGGCTCCACCCATCCTAATCGCTCAGATAATCTGATAAAAAGTGCAACTCTACTTATTATGGTTCTCAGAATATCAACAGTATGGGAACACACCATCAAGACCACAAGTTTGTGCAGGTGGCTTTCTGCACATGAGCCATCAAATCTAAGCCTATCCTCCTGCTTATTCCCTGTATCCTCTATTCCTTCTTTTTAAGCAAAGTTGAATGTGATTTTTTTTAGTTAGTCAAGTATCTGATGCATGCAGAAACCCTCACCATGCTTAGGAGTATCCAAATCAGACTGAGAGTTCCACATATGAATAATAATAATAATGCCATCTATTCATGAAAATTTCTATGTGGCAGGAATTGAATGTGACTTTCTCCCCAGAGGGACGCACCCTGCTTTCCCAATTCCAAAAAAGTACTCGGCACAGATTGGTGAGAGCGTAGGTTAGGGGACTTCGGAGTGTATATTCGGAAACTGCTGGAGTTTAACAAGCTGAAACCATACAGCTTGCCATTGAGCGCACTAGCTGTAAAAAAAAACTTCCTGCAGCTTATCCAGCTAAGACCACTCTATGCATTAGGCTTGGGCTTCTGACATTCTGTTAGCTTGTGTTCAAGAAGTGATTGAAGCATGTTACCTTGGAACCAAGGAGAGCATGTTTACCTCCCTCAACATAAGGGGAATAGTATTTCAGTGTCAAAGTCTCTTCAATTGCACACATACTTTATAATAAACAATTGACTCAGGTTTGACTTGACTCCAGGTATTAGTGAAATGCAGAGGTTTTCCATGTTTCATAAAATTGCAAATGTTAAGTGTACACAGAAGAGATTGCACTGATTAGAATAATGTATACTTTGTGCCTTGTTTGAAGCTGGACACAGTAAGATCAAGAGTAAATAATAATAATCCTTGCATTTGATATAGCGCTTTTCGTGTCTTCTAGACGTCTCAAAGCGCTTCACAGAATAGACTGTAAAGTGAATTGACTGCCTATTATGTGGGCGAAACAAGGCAGCCAATTGCGCACAGCAGTCGTGGATTGAAATGACCAATTTATTATTGTTTTTTTAGGGATTATTATCAGGCGTGTGGAGTAAGGAAACTTTCCCAAGGTTTCGCCCTGCCAGGAATCAAACCCAGGTCTCTCGCTTGCAAAGCGAGTGCTCTAACCACTGAACTACAGAACTCCTTGTGAGCCTGCCCAATTGAGACAGTTGGTTTGGCTTGATCTGTTTTGAAATCTTACCATTTGGCCAACCTTGGATTTTAATTTGAACCCACCCTGATTGTTATCAAAGGTACGATATTAAAGAGCTGATCACACAACTGGCTCTTTAACATCGATAAAACAAGCACCGATTTTGGTATTCTAAGTGTTTTACAAGGCATGACTGGTGAGAGTGAAGTGACAGTATAACTGCAACATCAGTGTGCCCATATTCCATCGTCTTTCTGTGACGATGCAGTTGAACACAGCTACACTATTACAATACAGTGGAACTTCTGCTGCCTTGTCAGTTGTTTTTCGAAGAAATGGAGCATGTAAAATGCACCATGAAAGCTTCATTCACCTCTTGAACATATTTGGACATTGTGCCCTGAGCAATGCCAGTATAATCTTTCCCAGGAGCTCGGAAGGACCCTGTGGCAAAAAAAAATATCCAAGGCAGCTTCAGCATTCATGGCACAAGGAGAGCACTGGTGTTGACAGAGTAGGGGGTTATTCTTGACTTGTTGATAAATGCAGCAATGCTTAGAATTAAATTTTCCCAATTAAAGTCATGCAGTAAAAAGTCAGTACATTTATCAGTGTGCAGAGAATAGTGTTTACATATGGAGTTACCAGCTCATATACTACTGTGATGACACTTTGAATTCACATAGTGTAGGCTGACACTGCAATGTATTAGTGTGTGGGGGGGCAATGCATTAGTGTTGGACTTGCTGTTCTTCTGATGCGACGTGACATCGAGGTCCCATCTGCCTGTTCAGGTTGGGATGTTAGAGATCCCACGGCACTATTTGGAAACAAAAATAAGTTTCTTCCAGTCCCCCAGATAAAATTAGTCATTCACTTCATAGCTGTGGTGGGACGTTGCTGTGCACAAATTGGGGTTCACATTAGCCTAGAAGATACAGAGTTACGATATTTACAGTATCCTGTGAAGTACTTTCAGATGTCCTTCCGACATGAAAGGTACCTTCTTAAACAGAGATTAGTTTTTGTTACTTTTTATGACCTTTGTATTCAATCTGACCCTTGTCAAGCTATTCAACAGACAGACTAGCACAATTGATTCTCAGCCTAACACAAATAGTCTCTGATGTCAAAAAAGGGAATATCTATCAATGACAAACTAAACATTGAACATTCATTTTCTGCAGGGACTAAAACTGGAATGCCTGGAATATCAGGAATAAGAGATATCTCCTGAAATAATTAGTTTCTGCATGTTGAATTAGGAGCATGTGTTATCATGAAATGACAGGGATCCAGGTTCGAAGTCTTGTGCTGCCTAGTTACCAAATAATAGTTGTAAGGGAGATTTATCCCAGGCTCTTCTTGTACACATCCTGCCGATGGCTTAAAGGACCTTCGGTGGAGGCTTGGAAGCAGGTCATCTACACACCTATTTCATAGATTCACATAGAATTTACAATATTTGGCTCATATAGTCTGTGCCAGCGTTTATACTCCACATGGGTTTCTTTGCAGTTGATTTGTTATCCATGGAGACCAAGAGCAATTGAGGAGGGAATATGGGAATTCTTATTTGCCTCGGTGGAAAAAAGAGGGGATCTCACTGCTAGATACTTCAGTCGGTTCAGCGAGACACTTATCTGATAAGGATGAAACTGCCTGAGATTGAATGCACTACTCTGCTTGCATCACTTTTGAGTGATAAATGGGGAACATCATTTCTTTACCTTACTTCTTGAAATCAATTAAGCAATAATTAGGGGCAAAGGATGATCTTTTGCCTCTGTACTTAATCACATCTGGTCAAGACTTCTTTTTGTGCAGGAATCATTCTTTTTCATAGGATGAGGTTGAAAAGCCTTATTTCATGAAGAATTTAATTGTGGGTCATTGCAATGATTGAATCTTTGGCTGTTCCCTCTGTAGTTTCTAAGTTCCCTTTCTTCTGGGGAAGGCAATTATGTTTTTTCTCCATTGCTCAGGTTCCTTGTTGTTTAGCAAGTTATTCTGAAATATATTATTAATTATTTGTTGAATGAAATCCCCAGCATTCTTCAAGATTCCAGAAATGTGATCACAAAGTCACATCTTGCTGCTTTGCTATATTTTAGTTTATTTGACTCATTTGTGCTATTGTTTTAGTGTTGATGGATGTTAGGTGATTTTTGCTCCTATTAACGCAATAAATCTTTTGCAATGAATTGTATTATGTCAGTTGAGTAATGGTGCTAATCCTGCCTTTATAGATGCCGTGAGACTATGCAAATTGGCAAATTGATATGGCATTGCTAAAACTCCTGCTTCTCTCCCAAACAGTGATAACAAATGGTTGATAAAGTGTTCTATCTATCTCCAAGTATAGCTGAGAAACAATGAAGGAACTTGCATTTTTATATCGCTAAAAAACACCAAAACATTTCAAAGCAACTGCAAGGATTATTTAAAGTAATTAATGGCACGTGCGTATTTTTTGATCTGAATGGATTGGCTGATTATTTGAGTGTCTGTTCTCTAATTGTGATTCCTGTGTGTTTCTTCTCGATTCAGTCACCTGCTCACAGCTATTCCAGCTACGAGTCTCTTAGAAATGAAAGTGTAGGAGGTGGCCCCGAGGATCTGTCCGTCAGCAGAACTAATGAAGATGATGATGACCAGGATGACCACGATGACGTTGAGAAGATAAATGAATCTGATGGAGCAGAATCTGAGCGTCTTAAAGCTTTTAATGTAAGTTTAAGTTACAACTGGTCTGTTTGTGGATGGTCCTGGAGAAATGTACTATTGTACACTAGAAGAGGCAAAGTGTCCTGGTTAGAGATTGTTAAAGTACCTCACAAGTTGTTTTTCACACTTATAGTATTAGGAAACTTATACCTGAGAGAAAGAGATTACTTTTTTCTTCACAAAATATAACGCAGATTCATCTAGCTTCCAGGACTTTTAAGTTGTTCTTTTATTCAGAGACTGCAGATAAGGAAGCCATGTAACCAGGAAAATGATTGGCATGCTTAAAGGGAATTATCATTGAGCTGTTGGTGTGCCTTTGTTGTTAGTTCTGTTTATTTTCTCATGCTGAATCGGTTCTAGATACTCAAGGAGGTGATCCTCTGACAATCGGTAAATTTACTGACCTTTGTGGGTGAGCACGTCTTAGTTCTTAGCTGGTTGATAGATTTTCTGAATTTGCTTCTTTGAGTCAATTGAAAATTACTCCTCTAAGCTCGCATCACTAAGGTGAGTAACATTGTTGAGAAGTCTTTTGTCTTTAGTACCTCTTGAGATCACGGGTCCCGTTGTCTATTTTTCTGTCTATTCAGAGTATTTAGAACAAATTCAGTGCTACATAAGCTTGTGCTGGGGTCATATGAACCTAGACTTGCATTGTCTTACAATTTTATGCTAGAACACTTAACTTATTAATAGTTGACTAAAAAAGTAACGACAAAGTGACCACAAAGTGACATTTTGGTGGTTTGATCACTGACGTGGGTTGAGGACAAAACAATTCTTCAACTGTATTTGTGTTATTTAACTTTTATTTAACGCCATCATTTTATTCCACCCCACCTTAGTTTGAGGAAATAATAATTTTAAATAATTGTGTGGATATCAGGAAAAATGGCATCTGCAGTGGACAAAGTACTACACTTTCTGTGATTGTGTGCTAAGACTATGGATAAGCCTATCTTATTGTTTGATAGATAACATTCTACATTGCTATCAGTTGTTAGGAAGAGAGGCCTGAAGCAGACTGAGGCAATGTCCTCTACTGACTCCATGTACTGGTAGTGGAACTCTGAGGATTTAGGAAAGCACAGTAAGATGGCATTTCATGTGCTGGCTTCAACATATGAATTTATTTGATGTACATAAAGCAGCCAGCCATGTGCCGTTACCTGTGTACTTTCACCAAACCATGTTTTTTTGATTTGATTGCTGAAAAAAGTAAGTAACCTGCCAAAACTGGAGGAGAATGAAGAAACAAATAAACTCCAGAGGACAGGTTTTCATGAGTCTTTGAGACTATAACAGCAGAAGGCTCTCAGTGAAGCTGAGGACCAATATCAGCCTCTGACCACAAAGTTAGTGGCCTGGAAGAGCACCACTATGAGGATGTTTCATCTCGGAGTTCCTGATGAGAGCAGGGAAGTAGAGCAGTCTGGAACAGAGCCATAAGGATATAACATACTATACATGGCTTTTAGTGCTTACGATATCAATTCCTGTCCCAGTACCTTTCCTTTACATATTTCTTTACTTTGATATAATATTATTAGGACCTGGATATAGAAAATAATTATTTCTTACTGTTCGTTTTCTTCAAATATATTGTGCATGTCATACCTTTGTTTAATATTTTTTTCATAGTTCCCCTAAGGGTCTTACCCAAAACGTTAACCTATCTTTCTCTTTCAGATGCCGATTGACCTGCTATGGATTTTCAACATTTTTGTTCTTTGTTTAAAATACCTTCCCTTGATGCCTCAGTTAGTAAAGCCGCACTGAACACTGTAAAGTTGAACCATATGGACCTAGAAAGTCCTGATTTGCTTACTGTTCTGTGCTGCGTTAACTGATCTCTCAGTAGGGCAGGAATTGGCCTTTGTACCAATCTGGCTGGATTTTGGTTATATCCAACGATTGTTGTTTGAAAGTGCACGTGGGTGTAGGCATTGTGTGAGGAGAGGGTAGGAGAGGCTGGGCTTGTCAGTGATGCTTCTTCCCCCATTGAATATTTGGTCAACACTTGCCATCTCAGATCAAACATGAAGAATATCCACCTGGGTGAGGTACTGGAGAACAGTTCATGGCTGTGAATCTGTACTCCCCTCCCCCCTCCCACCCACCCCCAGGATGACTGGGTGCTGTAAGAAGAAGAGATTTAGAGGCTGAAAGGTCCCCACCCTGCGCATTTCCCTGACAGACAAAAATATGTCAGAAGGGAAGGAAAGCTCAGAGGAGCCCTTTGGTTCAAAGGCTATCGGAGAATTATAAACTTGTTGTTCTATGTTTGACTGTAAGAAGGAAGCCTGGTATTTCCAGAAAAATTGAGACCCGCACCTTAGCATGTTATACGGACAGTTCGTCCCCAAGCAGCTTTAATGTACTTTACAGGAAGGGGTTAGACATATCACACAGTGGTTCCAATTAATTCTGGTAAAGATGGATGCTCTAGACAGACCTAGAGCTGATTCACAGCTGCCAATCAGAAGCACAATATTGGCAAGAGGGCCAATGTACCTTGTGCTTTCTCAGAGGAAGTGTGCTCTGGAACAATGGCAAGTTACTTCAAAGCTCCCACTGCTATTAAACAAGCTAGGTGGAGCTAGTTCAGGGCACACCTGGCTCTTTGAGTTGAGGGTGTGGCCCCCATGGTATGGTGTACATGTGGGCATTTCTTATTACAGATAATAATAATAATAATAATAATCCTTGCATTTGATATAGCGCTTTTCACGTCGGAAGGACGTCCCAAAGCGCTTCACAGAACACACTGTAAAGTGAATTGACTGTAAATTTGTGGGCGAACGCGGCAGCCAATTGCGCACAGCAATGTCCCACAAACAGTCGTAGATTGAAAATGCCAATTTTATTATTGTTTTTGGTTTTGGAGGGATTATTATTAGGCGTGTGGAGTAAGGAAACTTGCCCAAGGTTTCGCCCTGCCTGGAATTGAACTCAGGTCTCTCGATGTGCAAAGCGAGTGCTCTAACCACTGAGCTACAGGACTCCACAATTTTTCAATATATATATTGACAATTGTATTTTTTCTTCTACAGTTGGGCGGGGAGTTGGGTGGGGATGAGGAGGGGTGATTACTTTTATAGAGGCAGTACATCCCCAGAGTTACCTTCTCCTTTAAATCATATAGAAAGGCTCGTCTTGATTTTTTTTAATAACATAGGGCTAGGAAGACCCCAGTTGATATTGTTAGTGCTGGATATGCTTAACTTCCTCTGGTGAAAGAATGAACGCAGAAATTGGTAACATCAAACCTGCTGCATTTCAGGAACCAATATGGATTCTAGGCAAAAACTAGAAAGCAACAATAGTCTGTGATATCCTAGTTGTATTTCTGTGCCATTTGGAGGGAAATTTCATTCAAAGAGTGCTACCTTTCTTCTATTTTGTTAGAAGACTATTACGTTAACTGCCCATGCATTTTATTTTGAGAATGTATCAGACTTTATACACTTGATACAAAAGAAAAAATTACATTGGGAAGAATGAAGCAATACTGTTGGACTACAGAGGGACTATCCTTGCATTGTCCCTTCGCATTGTTCTTTGTTTAATGCAGCAACAGCCTGACCGTTCCGCCCGCTCAGCAGACTCCGACATGCTCCTTGTCCCCCGCCTGGCCTCCCCCCACCATCGATGGTCAGGTCTTCAACCTCTCTATCCCACCCTTTGGAACTCTAACCCACAGCACTTTAGTCCCTTCGCCTTACTCTCTCTCTTACCTCCTTCAAGGCACATCTCAAGACTTTTCTCTTTCATCACGCCTTTGGCCACTCTCCTACCCTTACCCTCCCTGCCCTGCACCCCTCCTGATCCCAACTCCTTGCTTGGGTCCAAACCTCTGACTGTGCAGCGCCTTGGGACATCCTCCTGACGTGAAAGGCACTTCACAAACGTAATTTGTTGATCTTGTTATTGTAACTGCACCAGCATGATATCCATGTGTGAATAGGGTGAAGGTTGAAGACCTTTTTTTAGCACAAACCCCATTTTTATACACTAAAATATAAACGCTTGCATTTGATTTAGCGCCTTTTCATATTATCAAGACGCCGCACAGCACTTCACAGGATGTTTCTGTGCAGTGCAGTGACTGTATTTGTAGGGGAACTTGGCAGCCAATTTGCACACAGCAATGTCCCACAAACAGCCTTGAAGTGAATGATCAATTTTATTTGGGGGATTGTTGGCCAGACACTGGGAGAAACTCTCTTCTCTTTTCAGATAGTGCCGCAGGATCTTTTACATCCACCTGAACAGGCAGGTGCGACCTTGGTTTTTGTGTCTCAGCCAAAGGACGGCACCTCTAACATTGCAGCGCATCCCCAGCACTGCACTGGAGTGCCAGCCTAGTCTGTCTAATGTGGGGACTATATAGGAAGGTCTGACTCAGAGGTGAAAGTCCTGCCAACTGGTAGCACTGTCAAGGCTGTAGCAATTTCCAGTATAGGTCAAACGTAATCCTTTGACTAATATTTTGAAAAGTGAGAGACAGTTACATGAGTTAAACATGTTACAGTAACATCCCATTATGAGGTGTCAACCTGACTCTGTTGTTAGTGCTCTTGCCTCTGAGTTAGAGAGTTGTGGTTCAAGCCCCATATTAAGCTCATAATCTAGGCTGACATTCCAGTGCAGTGCTGGGAGTGCCCTCCACACCAGAGGTGCTGTCTTTTGGATGAGATGTTAAATTGAGATCCTTTTTGCCTGTTCAGGTGAACTTTAAAAGACTCCACGGCACTGTGCAAAAGAGAAGTGAGTTTCTCCCGGTGATTTAGTGCACAATCCCCCAAATAAAATTGATCATGGCTGTTTGTGGAACATTGCTGTGTGCAAAATGACTGCCACATTTGCCTTCAAATACACATTTAACAGAGAAATGCTGTGACGTACTTTGAGATGTTTTAACATGATAAGTGCTTCATAAAATGTGAGAAATAAAATTAATCATAATAATTTCTCACTAATAATGACCCAGGCTGTGCTAATGGTTGTGCCGTATGGTATTTGGAGGAACTGATGAAAAGTTTATTCCTCTTAGCTTCCAAAATATTGTTGATTCTTTCCAATGTACTTTCTGGAAGGCCCTATATTACCGGTAAGGTTATTGTCAGAACTGCTGTGTGTATGGATGCCTTATTGTTATTGCTGTTTGGATAACATACTTCGCGCATGAAGTGCAGGTTCTGTTTCCACCCATTAGTACTGCAACTGGACATTTTTCTCATTATTTCATCTGGAGTTGTAATTTTTGTGAGTCTTTATTTGCTTTTTGTTCTTTAAAACAATTTTTCCTTTTTTTTTCTGTGCTTTCCTCATATGAACGTGTATTTACCAATCTCTCGTTGTTTTGATGTACCCATGCTTTTTGTTGTTGAAAATAATAATAATCCTTGCATTTGATATAGCTTCTTATCACGTCTTTGAGACGTCTCAAAGCGCTTCACAGAATATACTGTAAAGTGAATTAACAGTGTATTTTGTGGGCGACATCCCAGAAAACAAAAGCAGGTCAGTCAGTTATCACCCCCCACCCCCCCCACCCCACCACTACCCCCACAGAAATGTTAAATACATCTTTCTTTTTCAGACACTGATTGATCTGCTTTGCTTTTCTATAATTTTCAGTTTGGTGACTGCAAAGTTCAAAAGGGATTTATGTTTGGAATTTCTGAACAAAGCTGAATCGAAACAGTGTGGAACAGTGGAAATATAGGACCAGCCAGGAAACTTTAAAAATTGACAAGAGAAGCTAGGGGTAGATCCCAATCCCAATTTGTAGTGTTGTCCGACCCATGTTTGTTTTTGTCGGGCTATTAACGTCAAGTTTGTGTTGTGGGTAAAGAACCGCTCGTATTTGTGTTGTTGAACATGATCAGCCATACTTACATTAAATAGCCACCATTGGCTAGTGGTGGATTAATTAGCCACCATTTCGCGTTTCGCCCACAAAATATACGCTTTACAGCATATTCTGTGAAGCGCTTTGAGATGTCTCAAAGACGTGATGAGACACTATATCAAATGCAAGGATTCTTATTATGGACTGGAGATATTTACCAATGCTAATGCATTCTCTGGTGTCATATTTCAGAAGACATTAGCTTCAGCGTGACAACATGCTATTTTCTGCAAGCCTGTAACTGAGAAGCAAAGAAGTGAAAAGTGGCTCAGACAAAGTGCAAAAATAGAGAAAACCGAGATTTAAACATTGCTGTCATTAGCTCACTACCGAAGTTCACTGTTGGCACATTATTCTAACCAGCATTTCCTGTTCGTTCCTCCCTCCCTCTATCTCTCCTCTGTTGGGAGTGTGCTAAGCTGGGGACAGCAATGTCTTTTTATCTGCTGGAATTGTTGGAGCATGACCATCTCATGAGATGTGGTTTTGGTAGGCACGACTGAAATTATTTGTTTTCCTTCTCTTGCCCTCTCACCCGAGAGATTGTGAACGACTCCACTATCAGACCAGATTAATGAAGGTCAACTGAATATTGAGGAAAACCAAATTTAGTGTCCTTTTGCGCTAGGATCTACAAAATTCATAGTCCCTACACTTTACAACATATCCTGTGAATCGCTTTGAGACATCCTTTTGATGTGAAAAACACTGTATCAAAAGCAAGGATTATTGTTATCTGCATACCTCATCTGTACTTAATAGTGTAAGTGTAGCAATCCCACATTGAGCTGCAAAATTGAAAGCGGCTCTATATACAGACCTCACTGGGACCCTTCCATGAAAATGCTCTGGCAGTGGACAAAATCATGAGGAGCATTGAAGTCTCCCATTGTATTTACTCGTATCAGCAGTTTGGAGGGAGGGAGGAACCAACAGGGGAAATTGGAAGGTTATGCTTACCACATAACTGACCATTCCTCCTTCCCCCTAATATGGATTACAGGTGCACTTCTAAAGTATCTGCATGAAGCCTGACACAGACATGTATATGCACGAGGAATCCTGAGTCTAGACTATCCAGTAATCCTCTAGGTACTGTTTCACTGATCGATTAGGTTTATCAGACAGCATCAATGACTGAGCCTTGGCTTTAGGCCATCTAATTGCTAGTCTAGGACTTTACTGTTGGAAGTACCAAGTCACCCAATTTCCCAGTAGTTTTGTTGCTTCTCAGAGTCATTCATTGAATGTTTCATTGCTTTTGGTTTTCTTAAATGTTTCCCTTATACCTTCTGCTTTCTGTTTTGTATCTTGAAAGATTATTTTATGTTAAGGGAAACTTTTAATGTCTAACAAGATGGACACTGCAGGAAGGGCTCCTTGCTGCTTTTCCCTTATCTCATTTATTACACTGAAACGTTATCTTGCTAAGATTTTACAGACACTTTTTTAATTGTGTATTTTCTATCACAGAAAATATGATTTCTGTAAAATCTAGTTTATTCCTTTTTGCAACTTGATGCAAGGGGAAACTGGATTTAGCATGGAAACAAAATAATTGTTGAATCATACCTTTAGAGTTTTAGGATAACTGAGGTATATTAGTCAATTTAAAACTCTGTGAATTATAGCATAATTTGCAAAAGCACCAGTTGGTTTAATTTATGATTCTATAATTTAAAGTTATAATCGTCAAACTATGGGGTCTGTAATCTGTGATTCCTATTTATAACAATATTTTTGTAATAATAATAATAATAATAATCCTTGCATTTGATATAGCACTTTTCACGTCGGGAGGACGTCCCAAAGCGCTTCACAGAACACACTGTAAAGTGAATTGACTGTATATTTGTGGGCGAACGCGGCAGCCAATTGCGCACAGCAATGTCCCACAAACAGTCGTAGATTGAAAATGACCAATTTTATTATTGTTTTGTTTTTTTGGAGGGATTATTATTAGGCGTGTGGAGTAAGGAAACTTGCCCAAGGTTTCGTCCTGCCTGGAATTGAACTCAGGTCTCTCGCTTGCAAAGCAAGTGCTCTAACCACTGAGCTACAGGACTCCACATTATAATTGTTTATAATGGGATTCTTCCCCGCCCCCCATTTATTTTATTTATAGCAATCAGCACATGATGACACCCAATGTTTGGATAAGTATTGTATTAGTATTAGATAAGTATTATAAGTAGCATCCACAGCAGCTGGGAATCAATGCTGCTAATGTTTTGCTGCAAGATTGTCTCAAAATAATCCTGGGTACTTTTCAAATAAATTGAAAATCCAAGAGCAGTCAGTACACAATCTGAATTATCTGATTGCTTTTTCTTATTTTAAGAAGTGACACAAATCCCATTATAATAGTTAACATTTGCAAGAAACAGAATAATAAGGTTATGATCTACAATCATAATTTCTGTAAAGTACATTCTACAAGGATATAAAAAAAAACTTCTGGTCAGAAATAATATAAGATATATATGTACATAAACATGTATTGTATTTCCCTGGAATGTCTTATTAGTCCTATTAAATGAAAGCCAAAGAGATTTTTGCTGAAGATTTCTGCCTGCATCGTTCTTATTGCTGGTTGGGTTCGATGTTGTTTTCAGTATAGCAGGGTGACAATTAGCAAGAAACGAGATTTGTATTTCCCACACCAAATATTTTATAGAGCTAGGAGTAGCAATTCGTTATTTAATGATACACTATTAAAAAACTTAAGGGAGATTCAGTGGTTTGTGGCAGAACGTTTAAATGTAAGGGTTAAGTTTAAATGTTAGCTTCAAATTGTGTGAAATAAAACCAGATTTATGCTAGTTTCACAAGAGTTAAGTGCACTTTGGTACGTCGCCCAAATCTTTTTGTGTGACCCCAGACCCTGAATAGTCAATGTCTGCAAGTTGGCATCACAGTGACTGTAGGAAGCATCACAGCCAACACCGTCACATCCTTGGTCCAGCATCTATGCACAAGTGCTTCTCAGTAGATGTCACTGGAGAGTGATCGGAAGAAAAATACTGTGAGGGAATATATTTCCATAATGTAATATGCCACCAACTTGCTCAGTGAAAGATGGGCCTATTACTGAAATATCATGCACTTTGTCAAAAGAATGTGATATGGCACAGTTCACAAGCTCACATTTCATAGGGGCAATGGAATATTACGTAATCTATTGCGCAGTTTTTTTCTTTTACAGCATTCAGAAGAGCTGTTTGCTGAGGAATATGCTTCTGTTTCTAATGAGCTGACGGGTATTTGCTGCTTTTAAATATAATACAGTATATTGAAATGTTTCCGTTTGGGAAGAAAGTGCTGCAGACACACTGCTCACTCCACAAGGCAGTAAAGCAGTCCAGAATAGAGCAGCCGTCCAATGCATACTTTTCCTCTCTCTTCCTCTTGCCTACAGATGTTTGTGAGGCTGTTTGTAGATGAAAACTTGGACCGAATGGTCCCCATTTCTAAGCAGCCCAAAGAAAAGATCCAGGCAATCATTGAGTCATGCAGCCGGCAATTCCCTGAATATCAGGAGCGTGCCCGGAAGCGCATACGCACTTACCTCAAGTCCTGCAGGCGGATGAAAAAGAATGGTTTTGAGACGGTGAGTTGGACTGTCCAAATATAACCCATTCCCAGTCTGCACCCAATCCCCATACATAAATTCATCACAAGATTCCCCCCTCTCCCACACTGCCATTCTGATGATTTTTTTTAAGTCTTAATTTTGGTAACATCAGTTCCAAGCACCTTACCTTTCATCCAAACCATGTTTACCTTTCGTCACTGGTGTCTAGGAGATTATTTTATAACTACCTGAATGCTTGTACTAGAGTTCAAAGGCTGATGACTGAAGTTTCTGTACTGTGCTTGTTCCAAATATTCTTCCAAAAGCTGTTCCTTGACACGCATACTTAAATAGAAAATCATTTCCAATGCAATGTGTGATTATGTTTCTAGTTTCTTATTAATACACTGCAGATAACAAACATCTTGTACATAATTTAATAGACTTGCTAAAGACAAAGCCCTGGTGGATTTTGAGAGACCTTAGCCTTAAGGTATCAAGCACTGGATATCTCTTGGGTTTTCTGTCAGTGTATCAGCTGGGGAATGTAGCTTTATAAAATGAAGTTTAATCCCTGCTTATAGGAAAAAAATATAGGAATACATTGTGTAGAATATTGTTGCCAAGGTGAGAAAGCTTATTTGTTAGTGTTGTACAATAAGTAGCAATTTGACCATGTAGAGATAACTTTTGAATTATACTTCCTACAGTATATTGATTTGCCTCAAGTGGTATTAATGTAACTGATTTTTCAACATCAAATAGATTTGTTCTGTTTTACAATGAAAACATTACCACGCTTAAAAGTTATGATGTTATTGTGAGCAGTGTTAGATCAATCAATCAAGGAAAGTTTCCCTTAAACTTTTTCTTTTTAAAAATGCTTTTTTTTTGCTAAATTGAGTATGAACTTAATATTTGTTTGTCGGACATGACTTTACACAAATTGGCTACCGTATTTGACTCCAAATACACACTTATTACACTTTAGAAAAAACTTACCAATGTTTTGACTTTTTAGGCACCAAATTCAAGGATTACAATGAAATGCCATGCTGTTGCTGAATTTTGTGTTGATTGGGTTTAAGGAATTTAGAACATTACGCTTCACAAAAGGCAGTATATAACTGCACGTTGTTGTTGTTGTTGATTTAGAATTCTGTTTTCAAAGATTCGTTTAGCGAAGACCCTTGGGTGGATAAGGATGAGATCAAATTGGCCAAATCCCTTCGTCATCCAAACCTCTTTTGTGATCCTGTGAGAAGGTAGATATAGGAGTGAGCTGCTTTTGCTCAAGAAACATGTTGCACTGGACTGCAACATTTACCTTCTGGTCTGGATATTGATATTCAACTCCATTCTAATGATATTCTTTATTTTGCCTGAGACATTTAAATATTAAGTTAAAGCCTTACCACTGAGATCTGAAAATAGCTGCATCGGAACACATGCCTGTTACGATAAGGCAGGATGTCCCAGCACACAACCACTGGAGACTTCCACTTCCGTGTGCTTGTATCAGAGTTTGGATGTCATTTGACAGCACCTCTCCTCTCTCTCTCTGAATTTAACATTTAAAAAAAAATTATATTAAAACTTTGTTCAGTAACTGAGATGTTTAAAAAGAAATTCCTCATGTTATTGTTTCGGTATTATCTATAGAGACAGAGAAAATAAGAATCTTAAGAATGGTGCCAACAAAATTGGGAAATGCTTGTAATACCAAACTGACTGGAATAGCAATTCTTAACAAAAACTGTTAGTGCACTTCAGAAAACCGATTTTGATAAATTAGGCTTGAGAAGTAATCATTTAAGTTTTCTTAAAATTAAAAATAGTTGAAGCATAAAATCATATAATAGGTATGACGGAAAAAAATGAACATATGTGGACTGCAGATTTGCATGTCAACCCAGGATTTTAGTTCCTATGGTACAAATTGCTTTTATTGGGATATTAATGTTGATGACACTGGGGAGGAAGAATATTGTTACTGGACAAAATTACATTCCGCTAATATTTGGTTTTAAATGCTAGTACTATTTTTTGTATTTATTTATCGTGTCTGTGCATCAGTGTTACAATGCTAAACAGATTGCTTTTAACTCCACACAAATTGCTTTGGTGTATATAGATGTCAGACAGTGCACATGAGATGATTTTTGACTTAAGCATCCCTCAAAACAATATGTTTCTAATTTAGCCATGCTGTAACAAATTTCCGCATTATTCATCCTGGTTTCATGAATCTGTTTTAAGTGAGGCTAGCGATACTGCATAATAAGGGAAGTTGAAATAAGTGACATTGGCAAATCTTAGACAACTTTCAAATGAATCTTCCACTTACTGACTAATATACTGTGGATTTCACCTAACAAAGCAGCATTTTAAATCTGAATTATTTGCATCATTGCCTTTTGAGATTCTACTCCAAGCTGGCTATTAGTCCATTTACCTCTTTTACCACACATTTCCTTCTAGGTTACATGGATAAGCAAACAAGCCAGAAACAGTGTCTGGGTTCAATCGAGGTACTCAATACTGCACAATTGACTGCAGCCAATGTTCCCACTCCTCATCGATATTGCGCAACCTCCTGCCCTATCCCCACTTTTGTGTGATATCAGACATGGGCCTTCCTCCCCCCCACCCCCCCCATTGTTGATTAGCCTGATCTCCCTTAACCCAGAGGCTCCCTCTATTTTGGGAACACCAGTCTGTTCCGTGTCCCCTCTCAACCCACCATCAGTGGAAAGCCCTGCTCTGCAAATCTCCATCTCTGCCTCGCTCCCTCCCTCCTCATCTTTAAAGTCTACCTTAAGATCCTTCTCTTCAACTGCGCTTTTGGTCACTACTCCCCACCTTTCCCTTCCTCAGCTCCTCCAGCTAAGGCTCCCAGTTGATTTGATTTGAGACGTCCTCCCAATGTGAAAGGCACTAATATAAATGTAAACTTGCTGTTGTTATGGGGAGAAATTCTTGGTGGATCAGAGTTTACTCAATTCCCTCTATTTAGTTAAGAGCATGCAGAATTTGACAAATTCTTAAATAAAGTCTTAATTTTTAAACTTTTTCTAAAAATCACATCTTCAAGACTGAGGTGGATAGCTATTTGGTAGGTCAGGCTATTAAGGGATACGGGGCAAAGGCAGGTAATTGGACTTGAGGTACAGTTGAGCCATGATATAGAATGGAGGAACAGGTTAGATTGGCTGAATGGCCTACTCCTGTTTCTATGTTTCTAATTTTTTTAAAAAAACAGCTTAGAAGTTTAGAATTAATTTCAACAATTTTGTGTAATTCTGAACCCATTAAAATGCTGCATAAATAGAGAAAGTCTAGACCCAGATGGAATTTCTTCCCATCAGTGTCAAGGCACACACAAGAAGAAAGAGTTATTGGGCAATATACTTGCCCAGCTAGGAGTCACACCTGGGAAGAGCAGGTAATCCCAGTTTAACCTCTCGTGTAACCTCTATGCATCTGATCTCCAGAGAGTTTTCATGGTGGTATGATTTCACAATGAGGGTTCCATAATGTTTGCTCCTGAATACTGGAGTGTATAACATTTCGATTAGCTTGTAGCAACCCTAACATTTTGTAAATTTCCAATCTTTTATTTGCTTTGAAATAAACTCCTGTTACTTTATAGACAAAGTGCTGATGCAGTGAGATATTCTTTGCTTTTTAACTCTGAATAAGGTGATAGGACAAGTTCTATTGTTAAATCATCTTGTCTGAAAACATTGTCGGCACATCTTTACTTACAGGCAGTAATATAGATATTATGGTAGTCATTGCTTTGCTGTCTGCTACACATAAACTTTTTGTGAGTTTTTGAGCGGTACCTCATGTTGATTAAAATACCGGTTAGGCAATTATTGGGACATGAATCTAAGAACATACAAGCAATGTTGCCACACTCTCAATACAGTTTGAATCTCTGCATTATTGTTACAGCTTCAGTCAAATCATCTGTTCGCATCAGTGATTATGCTACAGGCTTCTTCCAGTCACCAGTAATGGATTTGTGACATTGTATAGTCAATACTGAAGAGGTGATTTGTGTACTTCTGCTGAGAAGAGGGAGGTAGATCCAATTCTTCAATTAGCACAGTGGGAACTAGTAAAGAAAATTGGTGTTCAATTTCCTCATGTCCATAGAATGTGGAGTGAATATCAACCAAGATCATTATCTGAAAGCATGATTCTCTGGTTTGCCTCAATTAAAACCTGTGCCATTCCTTCACACACAGTTGTCAGCAACACATGACATAAAATCTCAAGTTTGACTCCTTCTTAACTTGGTTAGTTTTGCCAAGGCTCTTTTAACAAGGGATTATCTGAATGGATCATTCCATTGAAGCCATGGTTATGGTCTGAAGAGGTGGTTTTTGGTATCTCTACACTACTCTGAACACCAGAGCAGATTAGGTAAAATGAAGCATATTGCAATTTGTAAAACACAATTAAAAGTATATTCAGCAGGCTTGAATAAAGGCTCCATTGTTTGGATTACTGCAGAAGTGCCCTCCTGTGTTTTACACAACTTCAACAGGGTTTCTAATGACCAATAACTTTCATGCATTCAGTGTCCAAATGAGCAAATAAATCATGCCTCTTTAAGATGTGATTGGATTATATTAACATACATAGCTGACTTTAACTCTGCATGCATGTTGATTGCAGAAACCTGAATAAGTACTCGATACCAGCATTGCATAAAAATGGTCCACCATTACAAGTCAGTGGAGTAATTTTAGAAGTTCTGCCTATCTGTCCACATCCTCACTTGAGCATCAATGTCATTGTGCTAATGGAATCTGAAAAGAAGCAATTGTTTATCAAAAATATCTCACCAAGTGACTTGAGACTTCATCTTGTCATTTTGAAGCTTCTGTGTGTTTTTTTTCTTCCAGTTCATCCATGTTGCATTTCCTTCCAACCCTGAATGTCTTACATGTACAGATACATATAATCTCTTCGATGAAATCATGTTTTTTTCTTATAATATCAAGTTCATGCTTTTTCTCTTATATAGCATTTCTCAATTAATCGCCTACAAAATCATCATGTTGAGTATAGTGTTAAAGAACATGATGAATTGCGGAATGGCTAAATGCATTTTATTACTTTGCAGGATGCTTCCATGCACTGTATCGGGAACCAGACTTTTAAGTCTAATAGGCAACGCAGTAACACAGCGGTTGATTTGCAGCAGTAGTACCCAGAAGAAGATACTGGCTGTTGAAATGTGCAAGCTAATGATTAAATCCAGACTGAATTCAGTCCACAGAAAACAAATACTGGAAAAATTAGTTTTTGATGGATTTGCGAGGCAATGACAGATTTGGCCTCTGACCGGTCGTAGTTTTTAATCATTAGGATTTGAATTTTTCTTTCTTTAGTTTGCAGTATATTGAAGCAGGCAGATGTGCTGCTGAACTCAGGTGGATTTGCCCTCCTCTGAACTACCATCATTAAGCATTCTGTGTTTTCCACCCTTCAGAAGCCAAAGCCCAGAATAATTTCTCTTTTGTCTTTATTCCCTCAGTCTCGTCCCATCCCATCGCACCTCACATCTGCAGTAGCGGAAAATATCCTGGCCACAGCGTGTGAGAGTGAGAGCAGGAACGCAGCCAAAAGAATGCGCCTGGATGTGCGGCAACAGCAGCAGGTATTACTATCACTAAAGTCTGAGGTTCTCCACAGTGCCGGATTTACAGCACAAAGGATAAACTGTGGTAACATCTGCCAGTGAATCATTATCAGATTTGTGCTGTCTCCATGTCCTTATGTCGTGCTGATATTTGGACTGAAAAAGACATTAATGGATAGCCCAAAATTATGACACTGGTAACTCCTAATTAAGGGCAGTGAATGGACTGGTCTATCTCTATTATTAGTTATTAATGAGTTTGGGACTTTAATCAATATCAGTTACAAATTTTCAAAAGTTTGTGAAAAAGTAGCCTGAATAGTGAGTTGTTCTCATTGCTGTCTGCGATCGCTACATTTTACAGTGAATCCTAAGAAGCATTTGAGACTGATGTGAAAGGTGCTGGATCAAATACAGGGATTACTATTATATTATTATTTTTCTGAATTGCACACAAGAGGCCAACAATTCCATTCTTGTGGCTTGAATGATCTGACGACCTGAGGTGTGGCTTGAATGCTCAGGTCGTTCATTCATGATTAACAGTATTTTACGGGTGAATTGCAGCAGTCAGTTTTGCTCACAGCAGGGTCTCACAAACAGCCATGGAATGAGTGACACATTTTATTTGGGGGATTTGTTGGCAGGACACCGGCAGAAACTTCCTTCTGTTTTTGAATAGAGCCATGGAATCTTTAACATCTACCTAAACAGGCAGGTTTAATGTTTCATCCTAAGGACGGCACCTCCGACAATGCAGCACACCCCCAGCACTGCATTGGAGTGTGAGTTTATATATGCGTGATTCCAAGACCTGACGTTAGGCTTGAACCCATGGCCTTCTGACTCAGATGAGAGATTGCTACCACTGCACCAGGCTGACACACAATAAAATGATTGAAGGAGGCTCATGTGAAATATACACACGGACTAGGTGGGCTGAATTGCTTGTTACCATGCTATAATGTTCAATGTAATTCTATCTTAAATTTTAAGACAAAATATTTTTACTTGTTAAGAAAAGATGGAATTACAGGTCTAAAGTGAGATTTAGCTGTACCTGGTAGTAATTAAAACTCATTGCTCAGATAACATAAACCAAGCAACGTTCAAGCGTTTTACATTGATCATCTGAAATTACCATCTTGTGCTTCATGTATGTCTGCAGTTTTTCAACAGGTATCATTGATTGCCACGACACTCATTGTAGTTGATTGGTGAAGACTTCCAAAGTAGAGAATTCATAGTTGTGTTAAAATCAATAGAAGATTATTGAGTGTCTACAATTGATGAAATGGGGGACCCTTTCTGCAACAACATTTTGCATTTAAATAGTTGCTTTTACATAAGATAATGCCTTGGAGCACTTCACAGAAACGGTGTCATACACTTAGCACAGAGGGGAAGTGACAATAGCTGCAGTGGGCAAGGTAGGCTTTTTGATGGACTTTTGAAGACAGATAGGGAGGAGACTCAGTATACATTATGAACAGAATAATAGATAACCCAGGAGTGATCACAAAAGTCTGTTGATCTCGTCAAGACATTCCAAAGGCATCTCAAACATCAGGAACAAAGCTGGAATGATTTATGAAGTCACCTGAAGCTAGATTTTAGATTACTGCCTCAGAATGACTCTGTTATCTGTCTGATTTTTATTATCTCCTTACGTTAGGAGCATTACCACTGCAATGCATTGCTCTACAATCTACCTTTTGTACCTTTGTTTCGATGCTGTAGTTTGTGTGCTGATGTATGTTCTCATCTTGGTAAGTCTGATAAAATGAGAGATGTTGTGAGCCACTTTCAATGTTTGAATAATGTGATAGGATAGATGTGTGCACAGAGTATAGCATGGAGATATCTGAAGTAATATGTTTCTGTGATACTTTAAGCAGTATGGCATTGCATCTGAGGTACATTTGATAGCTAACAATCGTCCGAGGATCATATTCACAGTAGGTTATCTAATCATTACTGCAGATTTCTGGAGTAGTTATATTCAATAACAACAACAACAACATGGATTGATATAGAACCCTCCACGCCGGACGGCGTCTCAGAACGCTTTGCAGTTTCGGATCCCGGGACTGAGCCATATTCATATATTGATAACAGAAAAGTTGCACATACAGTAGGTAAACAAACTACCTGTCTTGACCAACAATTCCCAAATAGCATTGGTCATCTATTTCATAGCTGTTTGTAGGCCATTGCTGAATGCAATTGGGCTGCTGCATTCATCTACAAATACACAGTCACTGCATTTTACAGTAAATCCTGTGAATTGCTTTGGGACTTCATCCTAGGGTGAAAGCGCTTTACCAAATTCAAAGATTATTATGATTATTACCACTAGTGAAATTCATAAATAATGCTTTCCCATAAAACAGTTTAAATACCTAGAGTTATCTCATGCACATTGCTTAAAAAAACAACTTTTTTGCTACATCTTGGTACTAGTATTTCCGATTGTAAAATGGAAAACCATCTCTGGAAATGTCATTATTCTGGATTTGTAATGGAAGTTGAAAAATCAAATCCAACAATAACAACAACTTGCATTTATATAGCGCCCTTCATGTGGTCTAGCGTCCCGGAGCGCTTTATAATTTGAGGGAAACCTTTCATTTAATTTACATTACATAAAACAAAAACGGTGGGAAAAAGCACAGTTGGTTTGAAAATATATGTCTTGATTTCAACACAGCGAGGATACAATAAGGTGGAGGATTGTGAGGCGCGGAATATTTGGAGCCTGGGAACAAGAGAGGAATGTTGAAAGGAGTAATTACCATTACAGTATCCATCAAACAAAAAAAAAGAAACATTGAACCATAGAGTGACCAGCATTGGAATAAATTGCACTGAAAATAGACTTGGGAATTTTAGAATAAGTAGCTTTTGGTTTAAAACAGTGTGATAATTAGGATGACCAATTATAATTCAAAATGCTGTGAATGTTACAGTGCAGTAATGCACCATTACCTAAGAAATAGATTTGGAATAGTAAATGCTGTGACCGGTTAGGTTGACCCACAGCAGCTTTGAAACTAATCTGAATCTAATTCTGAAGTCTGGGATACAAAAATCACCCCCTCTAAAATGTCAACGTTTTTGAAAAAAACACGAAAGGTCAAGACAAGACCCAGGCTTCCAGTGTGCAAAGAAAAAGTGCTTGGATTCTGTTCCATTATCGCTAAACTTCAATTAAGGTAAAGGATTCAATCTCATTTAGTAATTCAGGTGCATCCACCTTTAGTTTTTTTATGAAAGTGGAGCTAATGTGGCTATTTGGTCTCAGACGTAGCAATTATGTCCCAAGCACAGTGGCTGACCTGACATTCCCCTCTGAATAGTTGTCATAGCAGCAACCAAAATTGGACGGGTTTGTGTGCACCGGCTGCAGGCGATGAACAAAGCTTTGTCTTAATGTAACGCGAATGTTTGTTGCTGTTATTAAAGCAGTTTGAAGCAAGATACCTAATGTCCTTAGCTACTAATGTTGTTTGATTTGTGATCGTTTTGAAATGCTGCACTTTTGCAGCAGGTTAATTCCAAGGTTTTGTTTACCTTTGAAGATCAAAGGTTTTATTAGTTTGTGTGCAACCAACCTGCTTGTTGCACCAGAGTTTAAAATTATTATTATATATTTTGTTTATTATATCACAAAACTACATTTTATTAAAACTATTATAAGGGCGGGGGTTCAACATTGCGGCATTTGATGTCACTTTAACTGAGGAAAAAGCCATCAAAAAAAGTCAGTAGTGATCATTGCCCTTGAGCTCGACATTCTCTTCCCTCTGTCTCCTCCCCACCACCCCCCCCCCCCCAACCCCACCCAATAGTGCTAACTATTGACTGATTTTTGACTACATCTGTGATCGCATTGTCAATAATAGTAAATAGTAATCCTTGCATTTGATATTGTGCCTTATCACGTCAGTGAGACTTCCCAAAGCACTTCACAGAATATATTGTAAAGTGGATTGACTGTGTATTTTGTAGGAGAAATGCGGCCTACAGTAGCGACCCACAAACAGTTGTGGATTGAGTTTTTTTGTTGTTTGGAGGGATTATTATTCCCGGAAAGCGATCTGCCAATTGGCTAACAACCAGGTTCCTACTTACTGCGAGGTAAACAGAGGCGTGTGTACTGAGGAAACTTGCCTAAGCTTTCGCCCTGCTTGGCAATCAAATATGGGTTCTCTCGCTTGTGAGGCAAGCATGCTAACCACTGTGCCTCGGGTGTCCATATACCGCAGTTTATATCCATAGAATGTGAAAAATGTGTTACCGTAACAGTGCGGAGATAAAATTGTGTTGTTTTTCGCAATGGAGGAATGTTGAGGGAGGCAGCCCTTGAAAGAATCAATGTTCCACACCTTGCAAGCACTTCTCTCGATCACTAAGTAAGGACGGTTACCTGGTAACATAATTGTTGCTGGACAGCTTGCCAGATACAAACAAGATAACAAGGTGCCTCCGAGCAGAAGCAGCAGGGATTTAGAAGAATTGGATTCAAATTCTGCTGCGAAACACATATACTTTTCAAAGGAGGGTGACATTGGGTATCAAAATGAAATCAGTTGCACAAACGTATAACATTTTTAGCCACTGTGTAGATCTGCTCTGTTTTAAATTAAGAGGGACAAAAAAAGGCTTCCTTTTCCATGATCTTTTCATCTTAATCTTGTTCATTACATCGAGTTGGACTATGTAAACTCCTGCTTTGTTTGCCTCCCAACTTCTCCTTAGGCTGCAGATCATCCAGAACTACCCAGTCTTCTCCCGCACCAGGCTCCGTGACCCTATCACCCCAATTCTCACTGACTCCACTGGCTTCCCATCACTCAGAGGATACAGTTCAACAACAACAAGATTACATTTATATAGCTCTTTTCACATCGGGAGGAAAGATCCTGGTCCTCATCTTCAAAGCCCTCCATGGCCTTGCTCCCCCCTACCTCTGCGACCTCCTACCATCCTGGCCGCTCCCTCCGCTCAGCGGCCTCCAGTCTGCTTCACATACCCTGCCTCGCCCGCCCTACAAGTGACGCATGGGCCTTCAGCCACTCTGCCCCCACCCTCTGGAATTCCATCCCGCAGTCCCTCCGCCTCACCCCCTCCCTGGCCTCCTTCAAGACCCATCTCAATACCCTACGCTTCGATCGTGCTTTCGATCACCCTGCTTCCCCCCCTGCCCTCCACCCTCCCCAATCCCGATCCCTAGCTCGGGTCCGAAACACTGACTGTCCAGCATCTTGGGACGTCCTCCCGACGTGAAAGGTGCTATACAAATGTAATTTTGTTGCTGTTGCTTGTTTGCTCCCCTCATTTGATTAGTTAGATCACTGTTTTCATGTCAAGAAAGCGCCTCATGGGATTTACCGTAAAGTGTAGTCCCTGTATTTATAGGCAAACACGGCCACCTATTTACATGCAGCAATGTCCTACAAATAGCCATGAAGTGAATGATCAATTTTTATCTGGCGGATTGTTGGCCAGGACACCGGGAGAAATTCCCATTTTTTTGAATACTGTTATGGAATGTTTAACGTCCACCTCAACAGCTTTGCGACATTGGTTCCTAACTTGTTAAATTCTTGAAAAATTCAGTTCATTTCCATTGTATTGATACATTTCTCGCTTGCAGCCCTTTTTCGTGTTGAGGCTTATAAACTTGCTTACAATTAATCACACCACTTTGGAGGTTGAAAAAAGTGCCCCTGGGGAAAGTTGGAACTTTTTTAGGTGTGCCTCACTGTAAGACAACACGGCTCGGGGGTTGTGGGTGGTAAAGCATGTTTGTCCAAGCATTTAGTGCTGTTTGTGAAATCTGGGATCTGAGGCAATCTTGGGTCAGAGTTCAGGTCCCATGTAACTGAATGATGTACTTGGGTTTATATTGGAGATGCAATTCATGATACAAGTTTCCATCCACATCCTGCTTTTTGTTCATGTTGAGCACGTTATTTGAGATCAGTTTATTTAAGCCCTTTAAGATCTTGAATATTTCAATAAGATCTTCATATTCCCAGCTTCTGTAGCCTCTACTCATAACTCAGCCATCTTAATTTCAGCTATCAATCTTGTTGTCTTTTGCTGTAACCTCTCCAATGCTAAAATATTCTTGCTGGAATACAGTGACCAGAATTCAACCATCCCACAGTTGTGCACCAGGTGCAAGTTAGAGTAATAGGTTGTTATACAAGAACTTTAGTAAGATTTATCTCCCTGCCTCACTTAGCACAAGTAGCAGTATTTCAATTGAGGTACACTTGCACTTTACCAAAGGATCGAAGCCCAGGATTCCATGCCTGCCACTCAAGCCTGACTGCTTTAGTTAGGTGAAGTTTATAAATTCTTTGCTGGATGGTAAAACTTAACCCCGGGTTGGCCAAAGTGTTCTATTTCAAAAACACTAAAAAGCTGAATTTTAAAAGGTCAATTATGAGCAATGTGTAAACCATTTGCAAGCACTGGTGTGTGTATATTTGAAATCACAAGTTAATTAGGTAATTAACAACCAATTATTTTCATTCTATTAACATGTGACATATGATACAGGGGAACCTTGTTATAACACTTTTCGATGTAGCTATTCTTTATCACAAGTGCAGTAAACCTAGTTTCTGGGCCTTACAAGTTGGCTTCTTGTGCAAAATAATGGTCAACTTCCAGGTCATCAGGTTGCCGTTGACATAACTTTTGCTGCACACTACATGCTGCACCTGTACCATGCAGGAAGCACCACTATCATTTTGCCTACATATCCATCCTAACACTAATGTAGTGTACTCAGCTGATCTCACCTTGCAGAGCTTGCAGCCTAATGGTCAATCTAAGCTGCCCTGTGGTGATCACAGTGCGACCAGCACAGCTCTATTCCTCCTCTCAGTGGTATTCTGAGTAAATGGTGCCAGTGTTATGGAGGGAGTGGTTTCATCTGAATAATTGCTATCGCTGTTTGACCGATGAAAAAATGAAAGCCAGTGACACCACAAATAGTATCAAGACACAAATGCTGTTCTAACATCACTGGCTGAAAAAACACAACCATGCAATGTTTCATCTGTCTTCTTGATCATGCGATGCATTTCATCAAAACATTCTTGAAGAGGTTTGAAGTCTGCTTGATGAGGTGATTGGAAACAACAGTAAATTCAATGGGGCAGATTCTGTGTTCTTCTGGTGGTGCACATCAGGCTGTCACCCTTTCTGTTAGTATCAAATAGAGTATCCATAAATAAACAGTAACTACACTAAATATTGGTTGGCCAGACCAATTTGAGGGGGAGGCGGGGGAGATCTGGCCCAGCACGCCAGAATTTTGGCTAAGTGCAATTACAATTTTGGTACCGACATTTACCAGATTTTTTCATTGATGAAACCATGCCAGCAAAAGCCAGTATCAACAGTGTAATTGTTTGAATCCCGCGAACAGAAGATAGCGAGTAAGCTACTTTCTGCTCACAGGATTCAAATTGAGGCAAAGTGGCTATTGCTGAAGGTGAGGAGGGCGGCTTGTGCTAGCCGAGTGGGCTGGAGGGAGTTTACGAGTTTACATGCTTGCAGGCCTGCAAAATATTTTCTGTTTCCAGTCCGGTCTGGCGAAGTCCAAATTCAGGATATCTGGAGTCCGGTAAGATGGGGGTTTACTGTATATATTTAGTTATTTATTTGGCTTAGGTTCAAAAGTGTAATATTGCTGCAGCATTGAGCAGGTTAACTGTGGTGTCCTGGCCAATAATCCTCCAAATTAATTGGTCATTCACCTGCTGATTGTGGGACCTTGCTGTGCATAAATGGCTGCTCCTCTTGCCTACAAAATCAGGCAATACACATGACAGTAATTATTTGTGAAGTACTTTGAGGCATTGCGATGTGATAAGCCATTTAGAAATGAAAGTTCTTTCCATTTTACCATAGGGGGATTATCTCAGTACCCATTGAGACGATTTCATACTGTAAATTACAGTGGGTCATGATTCTCTGGAGCTGGGACAACTTCCTTGATTCTTACTGGCTTCTCAGTGTGTAGTAATAATAATAATCCTTTCATTTGATATAGTGCCCATCACAAAATGTGTCCAAGCACTTCAAAGGATTTACTGTAAAGGATAATGACTATATTTGGAGGTGAAAATAGCAGCCAATTTGCACACAGCAAATGTCTCAAGAACAGCCAATGAATTATAAAGATGCATTTTGTTAATTGTTTTTCACCTGTGCAGAGCGGCTTATGGTGAACATGCTCTTTCTTCTAGAGCCGGCTGGACTTTTAACTGCTTCATTGACATGAAGGCACGAGTCTGTCACGAGCTGACCTCTAACTGGTGATCTTTTAGCTACTTGTTTATAATGTGGAGCCAGCGTCTCCCCTAAATTTAAAGTTTGATTGAAAGCTTTCTACGCAGCGTGTGCTGGTTTGCTTAGAGTATCATCTGTTTGTTCCATCCCAGACAGGATAAACTTTATTCGTCATTAAAAATTCTCACTCCTGACTTTTTTTTGCAGGATGAGCCCATTGCAGTGAGCAAACAGTGGATGAGAGAATCAACCCAGGTCACTTACACAACCCCAGCCGTTTCATACTCTCAGGAGCTAATGTACATTAATGGCAATGCGAGCTACAGTTACCATGGCTACGGAGGGCTGGGTAGTGGGAAGCAGAATCCATCTTCTTTATCAAGTGATGGTACTAACAGCGGTAGGTTCAGTTTGAATATCCCTTCTTGACCGGCAGTAAGATTTTAGACAATTCTGCATTAAGAATTAAAGCAATTTCTGGATTAAACCTTTGCACTGGTCATGTTGTTGGTCATTTATATATATATATATATATGTGTATGTGTGTGGCTCTAAAGTGTGAAGCGTCTTGTCACTCGAAAGACGATTACAGAGTAGGGCTGAGCTCCGGGTTGTAAGAGAAGGATTTAAACGCAGCAAGTGAGCAAAGAGATTAAGTATGTTTTGTCCACATTAATCCTGTTTCAAGCATCCCAAAGCAGTGCACCAGGTGCAAGCGTAAAGTCATAGGTGGTTATACAGGAACTTTAGTAAGATTTATCTTCCTGCCTCACTTAGTACAAACCGCTGATGTTAATTTAAAAGCCTTCATTGTTAGCAGAAATCATCGTGCTGAAAAATCATTTAGTCATGTAATTCATCCAGAAAACACCTTGAAGCACTAATCATCTGATAGAATATAAAATTCTCGTTATAAATCGGATATATTCTTCAAGTTTTACCAGTATTTTATCAGCTCTTACATTTGCTACACAAATGCTGTGGGGAATGGTTTTAATGTTAAATATGCAAGATTGCCTGTTTTCTTCGGTCTGTGTCCCCATTAATCTGTAGCCAAAACAGAAATAACGAGTATCTCAAGATGAAGTATAATAATACTGTATGTCAGAAATGCATCCATCTGTAGAGTAATGTTTCATTTCTATTTAAAGGCCCTGCAGATCTCAGTGTGAAGAAACCACTTGCATCACACTCTGGGTCCTCCAACATTAACAATTCCAAAAGCCCGCCGGCACAACTGAGTCCCACTGAAATAAACGCAGTTCGGCAGCTTGTTGCAGGATATCGGGAGTCAGCAGCCTTTCTACTCCGCTCGGCAGATGAACTAGAAAATCTGATTTTACAGCAGAATTGACCTCTATGAGCTTTGCATTGATCTGCCCCTTTCCTAGAGTTATCCTGTTGGTGTTTCAATTTCTGGGCTTCTCTCTTTTACTGGACAGTTCTATGGGGGGGGACAAAAAAGCTGTCGTAGTATCATGTCCTACCCCTGAATGTGAAGTAATGCTTTGGACTGTTACATCTGATCTTTTTATGAAGAGCCTTCTTGTTTGCAGCCTGAATGAAGCTGCTGCCCATTCTACTTCATACGTTCTAACTGAGGTCACTAACAGAACATGATCACAAATTGGTTAACCATCTTCAGTGACTTAGTCGCCAAGTAAAAGCTGCAACAGCATCAATATCGTCTTACGTTCCAAGTGCAATATGAGTTAAAGGTGCTACTGAGTTTACGTTGGACAAATGCAGAGATTAAGAATTTAAAAAAAGTATTTGTCTATGAAAAAGAATAATGTTGCTCTTAATGTTGGAGTATAGTTCTGGTTTTGTGGTGGGGGGCAGAGGTAAGGTGGGAGGAGGGCTGCTAAACGAATATCATTTAATATACTGGGTGTACGTATGCCTTGGGTGGTCACACATCCCCTCCTCTCTCACATGCACCTTTGACATATGTATGGGTTATTTCCTGCTGGCTGCTCTGGTGCCTGTGTAAAATGCAACTGAACGCAAAATGAACAAGTTGTTCATTCGATTGGTTTGAATCTGATGTTTGTTGGAAAAATAAACAAAAAAAAACCTTTTGACTGTGGGATGTATTTCACTGTTTAGGTTGTATATTTTGCAAGTAACAATCTTTGTACAGTTTCATTTTACAGAATTCTATTCAAAGGAGGCCATGGGACATTTTTGACTGTGGGATGTATTTTGCTGTAGGTTGTATATTTTGCAAGTAACAATGTGAAATCTTTGTACAGTTTCATTTTACAGAATTCTATTGAAAGGAGGCCAGGAGACATTTTTGATGTGATGTGCAAAATGTGCAGTTTGCTGCAATATTTTGTGTGCAAGATTCTTAAAGCTGTGCTCTGTACTGACTGGATGCAGTTCTCTCACAATTACTGTGGGTGTACTTATATTCTGTCACTTATTTTATAAATTATTAATTATACATAAATTGATGTTTAGTTTGAGTTGTTTAAGACCATTTTATCTGTTCTACTTGGGGGAATAATGCTTTTGCCTTTCATGTTTAACTATAATTTAAATTTTGTATTTCTGCTGTGCAGTTAGTGACGAGGTATAGTTGGTTTTCCTGTATAGGTTCTACCGTTGTGAATTCCTTAACAAAAATTGTCTTATTCACGTTGATTCCCACTTACATTTTTGATAATTGTGTTAATTGAACTGGTAACATTTTGAGTAAATGTGAATTAGTGTTTTTCAATTTGTTAACAACTCCTGACTGTGATTGTGAACTCCGTTCTGTGCACTTTGTTCTATAGTAATTGGACAGCACTGACATCTGAAGCTTTTTGTAATGTTGATTTGATTGATATATTGCTTTACAAAGTCAAAATCGTTGGTATTGTAGGTGAATATAAATGTGAAAAAAGAGACACTGCTATTATCCAAATATTTGTGGGGTTTTCCTTTTACTGCAGCGTATACCTCTTATTAGAACCAATAAATATTGACCAAAAATTACAGTTTCAAAACATCTTCACAGATAATAAGGTACAAGAAAGTATCATTCTAGTGAATTCCAGTGATTTTGTTTCCCAGTTAATAAGAACTAATTTTGATGAATTTGAGATGCACATACTTTGTATCAGTCAGGAAACATTATTACAAGTAGTTGACGGGTTACTGCTTTATATCTGAGGCTTTAGTGCCAGCACTAGCCAATTAACTTTGAAGCAGGTCTCACTGAGGTACGGCAATCTGGTTGCTGTGAAATCCTGTTTCAAATGTGCATTTGTTATTACTATTACCAATATGTTAGCACTGCTTCAAGTAAATGCTACTAACACCAGAAAAAGATGCTGAACCAACATTTTAGGAATTGTATAACCAAAATTGTTGGTAGTATTGTAGTGCTCCAACTAGGAGCCATTTCAGCAAATGTGCCCCAAACTGACTAAAAGTTCACAATATAGACTGCATGTTGAGTCTGAGATACCACCTGTCGTGAATGATTCTTACAAAACTGATCTTTTTTGTGCATGGCCACTGCAGAACATTTTTGAAACCTTGACAGCTGTTTGGCCTTCTGTCCGCTCAATACAGTTCAGCCCACCCTGAACAGGAAGCTATAGTAACTGGAAAGAATAGAAGACCCTAACTGCTCAATTAAAACCAATTCTAGAGTCACAGCCTTGAGCGAAAGCACCTTTAGAGTGTTATTCTGTTGCTTTGAAATGCTGCTTCCTCCTTATCCCAATATAACAATGCCTTATTTATTATTTTACATCTCACAGATGCTATGAAATTTATAATAATTATTATAATAACCCTTGCATTTGATATACGGCCTGATCACATCTTCGCAACGTCTCAAAGCACTTCACAGAATATACTGTAAAGATTGTAATTTTGTGGGTGCAACGCGGCAGCCAATTAATGTCAGAGATGTTGTTGTATAACATGATCCCATGGTACAATCAGACATTTTCTGTACACAAAACATTTTTGTTCCCTCAATGAATTTCCTCCCAAACATCTTATCTGCATATTTATTTGTGTGCATATAAGGGTGATCCATTTGGGTTTCCTTATGTCTCTAGTCCAGAGCAGCCTCTGACCTCATTTTTGATGCAATTAAATGTTTCATCAGCCAGATGTCTTGACACATGTGGAAACCCATCACGAAGCTTAAGAGTATTCAAACCAGATTGATAATTTTACATATGTACACCACCTACATATGGAAATTTTCTATGTCTGGGATGGTATGTTACCTTGCTTACCTAATCCTGGAAAGTAGTAGGCTCAGCTTGGCAAGAGGCAAAGCTTTGGGACCCTTGATTGTGTGTGCATTATAATAACAACAACTTGCATTATGATAGTGCTCCTCATGCAAGGAGTCCTCAAAGACATGAGGATACTCCTGGAGTTTAATGAACAATGTCTGACAAGCTTCCTGCTGCTTAGGGCCATCTTATCCGTTAGGGCTTTGGCTTGGTGGAGACAAGTGGGAAGAACTGTTCCCAGCCTGCCCCTTTTAAACCCAGCAACAGACCAGACTGGCTGGTCTGTTATCAGCAGTGCCCTGGAGGGCACCCCCTCTAACCTCTCTCCCCACAGCAGTACCCGCTGCCTCTGATCTCCTAGGTTTGGCCTCTTCCATGTCCCTCGAATCCTTCGCTCCACCATCGGCAACTGTGCTTTCAGCCACTACACCCTGAGATTTTGGAACTCCCTCCCTCAACCCCTTCGCCTCGCCCCCTCCTTCCCCATCTTCAGGTCGTGCCCTGAAGACCTTCCTCAACCACCGCGCCTACGGTCACCTTCCCCCTCCCCCTGACTCAGCCTCGGGCTCTGCCATTGTTAAGTGCTCTGAAACGCCACCCGGTGTGGAGTGCACTATATAAATGCAAGTTGTTGTTGACTGCAGCCCTTAGTGGCTCAGGAACTGGACTGCTGAGACCACCACAGAAGAGTCCTGTAGCTCAGTGGTTAGAGCACTCACTTTGCAAGTGAGAGACCTGAGTTCAATTCCAGGCAGGGCGAAACCTTGGGCAAGTTTCCTTACTCCACACGCCTAATAATAATCCCTCCAAAACCAAAAACAATAATAAATTGGTCATTTTCAATCTACGACTGTTTGTGGGACATTGCTGTGCGCAATTGGCTGCCACGTTCGCCCACAAATATACAGTCAATTCACTTTACGGTGTGTTCTGTGAAGCGCTTTGGGACGTCCTCCCAAAGTGAAAAGCGCTATATCAAATGCAAGGATTATTGTTATTATTATTAAGATCGACTCAATTCTGATATTCCATTGCCAAATACATTACTTTGGGGCCAGCACAGAAACTTTCCTTGTTTTCCACCAAGTGGGAAATGACTAATTGGATATCTGTTAGACAGGATTGAGCCTTGTCTACATGGATAGTAGCTGTTGGGAACTGTTTGTGCGGCTGTGTCCTAGGGCTTAGCATGAAACCCTATTGAAAATACATTTTATGACCCTGAATTGTACTCTTTATGAATGTTTTATTTCTTGTCTTTGACACAGAGTGTTTCAGTGATGTGGACTGAAATGCTTGAACAGTACATATTAAGTTTGTTTTCCAGTATTGTTCAGGATATCTTGGATACTTTAGAAAGTAAACTGTGAGGAAGGGGTGTGAATTCCATGGAGAAACAATGGATAAATGGGAGCAATTCTCTGAAAATATCAACAACAAAGCACCTTTCATTTTGGGAGGATATCCAAAAGCACTGGACAGTTCGAGCTCGGTATTGGATTTGGGAGGGTTTGGGGCCAACGGGGAGTGGGGTGGGAAGACGACCGAAGGTGCGGTCAAAGAGGAAGGTTCTTGACATGGTTCTTGAAGGATGTGGCAAAATGGGTGAGGTGAAGTAACTGGGATGAAGTTCCAGAGAGTGGGGGCAGAAAGGCCCGACTGTCAATGGTGGGCCAGGCAGGGTGGGGGACATGAAGCAGGCCACTGCCTGCTGAGTGGAGGGAATTGGTAGGGTTTCAGAAGGTCACACAGATAGGATGGGGCAATACTGGAGGACTATAAAAGTGAGGATAAGGAACTTGAACTCAATCCTATGGGGAATGGAGAGTCATTGGAACCATGATGTGGGTGATGCTCTAGAAGAACCTGATGGATATGGGGAGGACGAGCTGCAAGATCAATCTGCTCAAATGATGCCAAAGCCGCCACCTTATTGTTGTGAAAACCGGCAGACTTGGGGGAGCAAATAAAATAACAGAAATCTCAAAAATTAACTGAAATCAGTTGGGCCCAGAGTGATCTAGATTAGCAGTGTGCTGGCAAGATCAGATGTTTTTACCATTCAGTTGGATAAGTATCTTATGACCAAAAAAATGTCAGTGCAGGCTCCCTCCCACCCACAAGCGCTGACTGATCCATTACAGTATGGTGACTCTCCTGTGCCTGAGGTCTCCAGCAGGCTACCAGAGAATAATAGGTTTAAGAATAAAAATTGGGGTCAATTTGTGGGTCAGATTAACAAACCATGTGCAATCTCTGTGGATTGGGTTAACCAGTTGTGCATAGAATTATGGGTGCTACAACTCTAATCCTTTTCATTGCTTGATAGTTACATCAATTTAGGGCACCTGTGTGTGTTTGCAAATTGATTAATCCAACCAACAAATGAAACCCCAAACATGTTAACTTGAAAAGACATCCCCTTTAAACATGTTCACTAGCATTCAGTTATGCCTCATAGAATGATAATACCCATTATGCTGCGTTTATTTTATTTTGAGCAGGGAAGACTGAAGTAATTCTATTGTTTCTTAATATATTACCTTTGCCCCTAAACTCAGTCAGTTCACTGATGGCAGAGGTTCTGCTGAAAACATACAATGGCTTCTAATCCTTTTCTTTGTGAATGAGTCTCTGCAACTACCTCCAACAAGGTCTCGAACTTCACTGTTTAACTATTGACCTGTAATTTCATTTTCTGGTTCTGTTTATTGAATTCACAACAAAATTTAAACATGAAATCCTTTTAGCAGAAGAAGCTGTTAATAGACACATTTGCATTTGTATATGGAGCAGAGTGGCTGAAGCCTACTGCCAATAATGACATAAACACAATCTGAGCTGCCCCCATTCCCACTGCTCTGCTCAGTGGGGCAGCTCTGAACGCATGTGCAAAGGCTGGCTGGATGCCAAGCAGTGTGGGTTCAGGCACTGCTGACACTGGCTCATTAGCATGCGTTGCCAGGCAATCTCAGTCCCTGCTTGAAGAGAGATTCTGGGTTTGGACGGTGGGGGGAGAAAAAAGCATTTCCATTACAGCGCCCTTGTAATTGTGACAGTTGTGCCCGTGTCCCTTTGGTGTTCACAATCAGATCGCAAGATCGAATTCATACACAACACAATTAGTCTGACAGCAGCACATGATTTAAAAAAGGTTAAAAGTGTGAAAAAGCTTTTGACTTTGGGTCCTGGACATCTATCTTTCTCGTTCATGTTGTAAGTGCAAACGCATTATGGCTCAGTGGGCATGTTTATAGCTGCCACCCTCTACCCAAGCTCTCGATTGCACCACCAGTCACTTCTCCCTCCCCATCTCTCTCCCTCCCATCTCCCTTGCTCGGCATCAACACACACCACTGTGCAGCACTCCCAAGATACTCCACATCAATGTTTATATCGCCTGGCTCTCGGGATAATATTCTCTACAATTAGTGGCGGGCTAGTAGCTGCTGATTTTCTAAGATTCTAGCGCCTTGGCTTCTCTGCCCATTGTGGGTATTTTTTAAAAAAATCATATTATATTTCCAAAATTAAAATTTCACTTTTTTTTATTAAAAGAACGTATGAGGAAGAAGAAAGAATTAAACCGATGCCCAAAAGGTGTTTAACAATAAATATTTTATTCACTGGTTTCAAATAATTTATAGTTCATACTACCATAAAATTATGTCTTATTACTATAATTGTTCTCAAAAGTAACTCTTCTGTTTTAATAACTGATACCCAACTTTGCCAAAAAGAGAACACATTCTGACAGCTTACCTCCAAGACGGCCTCTCGGGAGGACAATATCTCGGATACAATTTGGATTCTGCTTGTTCAGGTCATTGTGAATAAGCAGTAACGGTGTTCCAATTTACAAAGTCAGTCTGTAAACTAGCATCAAACCATTCACCTCCTTTTGTGACTTCCTGAAGAATAGCCTGCCCATAGCCGTTTAATTTGACATTCTTTCATTTTTGACACAGACCATGTAAAAGGTATTGCGCACAAGCCATTTATTTCTAATCACCGAATCCTTTGGTAAGACCCAAGCCATTGTCAACAATAAG